TATATATATATATATTGTATATGTGTATGTGTATATGTATGTATATATGTATGTATATATGTATATATATATAATATATATATATATATATAATATATATATATATATATATATATATATATATATATATATATATATGTATGTATATATGTATGTATATGTGTATGTATGTACGCCCGTGTGTGTGTGTGTGTGTGTGTGTATATATGTATATATATATATACGATTATTATAACTTTGTATTGTTTTGTGCACGTATGTAAGAGTTAATTACCAAGGTTTTCACAAAAGAATAATAACAGCATTTAATGTACGTTTATGAAGACAATGGGTATTGTTGTGTTCAAAGAAGACAAATGATCTTAGGCCCGTTTTAAACGTCGAGCATTTTATGTGCCGAATACATTAAAAACGATAGATAATCTGCTAAAGTACCTCATTATCTATTGTTTTTAATGATTTCTGTGCATGAAAAGCTCGACGTTTAAAACAGGCCTTATTTGTTAGCAAAGTTGGAAATAGTTTTGCTTTGAATTTGGGTGTAGTTTGTATTGTTCAAATGCCTAAAATTTTGTATAGTTGTATGTAGATTTAGGATTTTATTGTATGTATGATTAGAAGTGAAATTACGTGGAAAGTGCTAGTAGAATTCGCGTAGTGTTATTTGTTTTAGTCGAGTTTAAACAGAATGGCAGATAGCGAGGACGACGAAAGTTTAGCGGGTTTGACGCAGAACACGTTTCTGAAGGCACCTTTAGAGCCTTGTTTCGACCTGTTCAGTGGATTATTGGAGGGCGATTGTAATGTTGGTGATGGTAGTAATAATACCTCGAATAATACAATAACATATTCTGATCATGTTTTAACAGCGGAGAAAGAATTAAATGAAGCCTTAAAATGCCGCTACTCTGAAAATAGGCGAAAAATATCGCTAGTTACAGACAAGGAAGTTGAGTTGATTAAGGAAAGTCGAATTCCAAATAACACGAAACACAACACTAGTTGGTCTGTCGGCGTTTGGCAGGATTGGGCAAAAGGAAGAAACGCGAGAGTAATAGAACTAGGCGTTGTCGACAAGCTAGTCATGTCAGATATTTTAAAAGTGCCTGAAGAAGAACTTAACTATTGGTTAGCTAAGTTTGTGGTCGAGGTTCGCAAGAAAGGTGAAAAGGCAGAATTTTATCCGCCTACGACACTTTATCAGATATGTTGTGGGCTATTACGATTTATGCGAAATAATGGTCGGGCAGCATTGAATATATTTGATGATCCCATGTTTAAGCACTTTCAGGATACTTTAGATGGTGAAATGAATCTACTTACTAGTCTCGGTGTTGGTGCAAATGTCCGACAAGCGCAAGCATTTTCAGAAGAGCAAGAAGAACTTTTGTGGAAATCAAATCTACTGGTCTCCGACTCACCAGTGACATTTCTAAATACAATGGTTTTTTTGATCGGCAAGAATTTTTCGCTTCGGAGCGGAAAAAAACATCGTTCATTAAAGTTCAGTCAACTTACACTGGAAGCTGCGACTGGGGATGAACCTGAGAAGCTTATTTACACATCTTTTGGAGAAAAGAATAACTTGGGTGGTCTTAAGATTCATGTAGCACGCATGCGTATTGGCATCATATTGTAAGCTGTTTGCTTTTCCTGCCCGCACACTTAAAGATAATCGACACTTGTGTAAAAAATTATTCAACATGTTGAACATTCAGTGCTAATGGCAGGCATGCCGAAAATCTCTCAAAACGTCCCCGCACACCTGAGAAACTTGCTTACGCCAACAGTCACGCGTGACGCTAAGCTCAGCTGATAGCTCTAGTGTGCGGCGGGCTTACAGTAATCTGTAAAGTAATTTGACTTTTGTTATTCTGTTGTTGTATCTAGATACGTTCCTGTTAGTAAGGATGTATCTAGATATATCCTTTCTAGGAGGGATGTATCTAGATACATCCTTAGTAAGAGGGATGTATGTAGATACAACCCTGAAGATAAATTGAATGCAATTCATCAGCCCCGCTCTTCCCTGCTGAATATCAAATCCCTCCCCGTGCTTTTAGAGCGTAAACCTAATGAACAGGTAATTATGCTAAATACAGTTTTATGAATAACAATGAAAACCGACTCAATCATGTAATAAGCGTATATAATTACTGACGGTCATAATAACCTATTGTTTTCTCTCTGCATTATATCAGCGAATGTCGAGAAGTTTTAGCGTTCTTCTGAAAAACTGGAGCGGTCTTTTTTGATTGTAGGGAAATTCCCAGGGGTAAATGTTTATACGGGCTAAAATAGCACACAGCATTATTAAAAATAATGCAGCATGCACACAGCATTATAGGCCTGATTCCACGAGCGCTTTTTCTCGGCGAAATACGAAATATTTCGCCTGTTTCTTTTGAATTGCGACTACTCGAATAAATTATTTCTACTTGATTGATCACAATTCGAAAGAAACAGGCGAAATATTTCGCATTTCGCCAAGAAAAAGCGCCCGTGGAATCAGGCCTTTATTAAAAATAATGCAGCGTGTATCAGTGCACACAGACATTATTCGCAATCCTTCGTCATCCTGACAAGTACACGCGATAACGTGAACATCTCAAGATGAGAGGTTGACAGTGCTAAAGGCCCCTCATACAATATCATCGGGCGCCTGAAGCACTGCCAAAACGGTCACTGTGAGTCCTTTCAGCTCAACTTTATAGAGAAATAGTTTCGTTTGCGCTTGTGGGATTTTATCCTAGATATGCGCATGTGCAGAACACACCATAAGTTCTATTCCCGTGTTTATCCAGTTTAATACGCTCTTTGAATTAACCTTATCATTAATGATAATATGTAAACTAGAACACTATAATTGACCTCCGCTTGTGGAGATTTTAATTTAGGGCGATTAATTAAACTGAAATCTGTTTTATCACGATGCATTACATGCATGTCCTCACAAATGTCTAGTGTAACGTTGGATAGATTCATTGTCATACGGTCCCAACAAGTAGCAACGTAGTCTTCCAGCCGAAAATAATTACTTTTGATTCGGGTCAGTAATTATA